AGGCGTCCGTTCGTTTAAAACTTGAAGCAGCTGGCGCCTGCCGGTAAAACGCGGCTACCACGCAGCGGGTATAAAGTGGCAACTGCTGGCCTTGTAACACGGCTGGTTCGGTACCAGGAGAAACTCGCTGATCGTGTTCTTCACCGAGGTCACAAACGCGGCGGAATACACTCGCGGTCGGTCTCAAAGACCTTTAATTTTCCGCACTAGAAAAATACTCCAGATTTTACACGGTCCTTGACGTCTTCACTGGTCGGGCATCCAAAATCCACTGCTTGATCTCCTTCTTTCCTTCCTCCTCTTTCCTTCCTCCTCTTTCCTTTCTCATTATCCATTATCTCGATCTAGATGCGGCGAAATCGCTTTTCGCCCGAAGCGGTGGAGTAGCGATTATCCATATCCTCTCAAATTCGGCAATGATGAGGTAGAGATGCGAACAGTCCAGGCGTTAGTAAATTTTAATAAAGGGTGATACGGTCAAAATTTGGTCAATATCAACTAGACGTATTTCTTTCAATTTTGCATTTAAAAAACCTGAACACCCCTCATTTTGAAGGTGTGTGTGTGTAGAACGTTGCTCCTATTTTGATTTTGGAATTCACTCTTCAGTTGTCAAAATGCCGTCCAAGCAAGAAGAGCAGCGTATCAAAATTTTGCTCGCGCATCGCGAAAATCCGAGCTACTCGCACGCAAAGTTGGCAAAATCGCTAAAAGTTGCCAAATCAACCGTTACAAATGTAATTAAAGTGTTTGGGGAACGTTTGTCGACAACCAGGAAGTCTGGATCGGGGGGAAATCGAAAACCGAAAGCCGCTGAGACGACAAAGAGTGTTGCCGGTAGTTTCAAGCGAAACCCTAACCTCTCTCTCCGAGATGCCGCAAATAAGCTGGGTGTATCGTCTACAACCGTGCATCGAGCCAAAAAACGAGCCGGACTATCGACTTACAAGAAGGTAGTGACTCCAAATCGCGATGATAAACAAAATACGACGGCCAAAGCGCGATCCCGGAGGCTGTACACAACGATGCTGACGAAGTTTGACTGCGTGGTAATGGACGACGAAACCTACGTCAAAGCCGACTACAAGCAGCTTCCGGGACAGGAGTTTTATACGGCAAAAGGAAGGGGAAAGGTAGCAGATGTTTTCAAGCACATGGAACTGTCAAAGTTCGCAAAGAAATATCTGGTTTGGCAAGCCATCTGTACCTGTGGCTTGAAAAGCAGCATTTTCATAGCTTCCGGGACTGTCAACCAAGAAATTTACGTGAAAGAGTGTTTGAATAAACGTCTGCTGCCTTTCCTGAAGAAACACGGTTGTTCCGTACTGTTTTGGCCGGATTTGGCATCTTGCCATTACGGTAAAAAGGCCATGGAGTGGTACGCCGCCAACAACGTGCAGGTGGTTCCCAAGGACAAGAACCCTCCCAACACGCCAGAGCTCCGCCCAATTGAGAAATACTGGGCTATTGTCAAGCGGAACCTAAAGAAGACCAATAAAACTGCTAAGGGCGAGCAGCAGTTCAAGGCAAACTGGCTTTCTGCGGCGAAGAAGGTGGACAAGGTGGCTGTACAAAATCTGATGGCAGGGGTCAAGCGTAAGGCCCGGCAATTCGGATTTGGAAAAGCGGAAGCCTAACTGAATATTTTTCCTGAATTTTATACTAATTGAACTTGAAAAAGAAATTTAATTTGATTTTTTAAATAAACGATTTCACCGATTTACACGCGTTTTCCCTTGACCAAATTTTGACCCTATCACCCTTTATGTGCAAACGAATATGCACTATTTTGAGCTTTGAAAATTGTCATTATGATGTAAACAAACTGATAGGATGAAAGTTTTCTCTCAAAATCGACTAGCGCACTCTACATTTATGGTGCATTAAAGGAGCCTATTGGCAAATCAAAGTTGACACTCGTGGAGAATAGAAGAACTATGAGAGTGATGATGGTTTCAGAATTTTTCACGGGGAGGTATGCGAGTGCAATCTTAAAATGCTTTTATTTAGCAAATGGAGCATTTTATTTAAATCTGGTTGCTGCTCTTTCCTATCGAAGCGAGTTTTGCTATACATAGCCGGTCACAGCTTCTTACACCCCCCTCTTCCTCCTCAAATTCTACGTCATTTATGAATGTTCCTTTATTCGATCTTTCTCCTAAAAGGGAGCAGGCTTCGATAGGAGGACTACCCGCGATAAATTTCGAAACGGTTCACCATAATGAATATTTTATTCATAATTTCGATGTTCATTCACATGACAAATGCTCCAACACTAACTTGGCGAAGCAATTAGAACTATGCCTCAAAAGCCGTAGTGAACCGTATCGGTTCACGAAACCACGCGGTTTAGGTTTCTCATCGTCGGATTATCGAGAGTGAGGTTAAGAAGATGCTGTTTTAAAGAGAATCGGATTACCGAAAGGATACTGCACTGAAATTCTGGTGCCACAAATTTCTAATCCTACGTAGGGTCCGTTAGACTAAAAATCGTAGCATCGTTTCTCGCTGACATCGCAATATCGCTAATGACGCCGGAAATCGCTTCGCGCGCTTCGGTTTAGTGCAGGTGCCACTATAAGTGAAACACAAAAAACAACGCCCCCTCCTCCCACCATAGCAGACAGTGCCACTCAATACTCCACCCAGTCAACCTCAATGGAGCCGACCGATTTCAACAAATTTGAACGCAAAGTTTCAAGAACTGCGCACCGAATTCACAAAAGAATGATACTAATATCCAAATGTAGTACATCCTCGAGGCTTCATTCGCTGAAAAACGAAGCGCCGCTAAACCTCCCATAATAAAGCCATTATTAAAAAATTGAAAAACTCCTGCATACACTTTCAGGTAAGTAGCAAGGTAGGTAGAAGCAAAACCAACCATCACATCGTCAGTCAGTGTTTCAGTGAAGAGTATCCACGGGCAACGGGACGCGGTGTACCTACTCCGTTCAGCTAAAGATGTAAAGGCGTAACAAAAAAGATTCAACTTCATGGCTCTGTGTTTCTCTGTCTCAGTCTCTCGCTTAGCTTTGGCTCTACGTCCACTGGTCGACGAAAAAGAGTGGCCACTCCAAAGCTCGCTAGACCGCGCTGAAGCGTACTTTATTGACACCTAGTTTTCGTTCATATCTCATTGCTTGATCGCCAGTCATCCGTGCTTCCTTCCATCTTTGCGCGCTCAATGGCAACCATGGATGCCCACCATAATCATCATCATCATCACCACCAGTCCAGAGCAGAGCGTGGCAACGAGTTCCGGCCATGGCACGACGACGACGACGATGACGACGACGTTGAAGGCGACGGTACAATGCGAGGAGAATTCCTATTACCCAGCGTGGACATGGACAAGCAGAGAAGTGATGAAAGGAAGAGGATGGACTTGTGGGAGGAGGATCCCGGTGTATTCGCCAGTGGCCGAGTGGTTCTAAAGTCTTTTTTGTGCTGACGCTGTTGAAACTAACTTGTGTACCTTTCGTTGCTCCGATGGTGCTCATTACTGGCCTGTGGTCGCGCTCACCACTTCCTGCTTTGCACCCTTCCGTCAGTGCTTCTTCAGTATCCATGTCCGTAATAATGTGAATGAGCCTCGCGTGTGAAGAGTCCACTTGAGTATCCTTTTTCACTTTCACCGCTGGACCAACCGACGGGCGAACGGACACGCTAGTGGTGACCTGATGGCTCCGAGAGTGCGAAGTGGTTCCTCAACGTGCACCGTCGTCGTCTTCTTATGAGGTTATCCAACAGCTGTGAGAAATTCCATTAGACAAGTTGTATGAAATTGTAATTAAAATATTAGCACTGAAAAGAGTGCCGGTGCCTCTTCCTGCTACTGCCCGGATGCCTGGAAAATCAATAAATCGACCTCTTGACTCGTTTGCAGTAGCAGCGCTCCGCAAAAAAAAATGCTTTATTTTCTACTTTCTGCTCTCAAACGGTATCGCGTCAAAGAAAGGAAAACAATAGAGACGAGTGAGCGCAAGCAATTGCAAAATAAGCTTCTTCTTACTCGCACCTACTCGTAGCTCGGCTCGACTCGCGCCTGCTCACTATATGCTATTCAGCCAAACTGTGTGACAACGACGATGACGGGGGAGAGCTTTATTGTATTACTCCACTTACACACTCTTGAAAAATTGTTACTGCACACATATTTCACTCTTCACAGTCGCATAAATCGAATCATCATTGAGATCACACAGAAAACCCACTCATGGCGCAAGCGAGTGAGCAGGATGGAGATCTCAAGCCGGTGCAGACGCTCAAGACAATCGCGCTTCCTATGCTGCATCGCAGCACAGCATCGGTCCAAGGGGGCGGGAATGCGGGGGTGGGTTTCAGAGAGCCTACACAGAACAGAGAAAAGAGCGAACACAAAACACAATAACAATTTTTGGTTGGATAGTTGTCATTGAAAAGACACGCCTCTCGAGTGTCTTGATAAGGGCACTCGAAAACCAATCGGATGGTTAATAAGAGTGGCGAGAGAGAAAAATGAGAACTCGTAGCATATGCGGGAGCGAATGCTTGGTTGTGTGGGTTCCTTGGTGAGCAGAGCGAGCGTGCGTTAGTGCAAGTAAATGATCAATGGCTGAGAGAGACGGAGAATCAGTGGATGGAAGATGGAACGGGACAACTGATGGCACGGTGGGCGTGGCCCAATATGAACAGTGTGCGTGAGTTCAAACGCAATGGATGCTTCAGGTTCGCGGAAGCTGGGGTGAGAATGAAATAGGGAGTTAATGATCAATGAACGCCGGAAAAGATGCAACGCTGTGGAATGAGTCCTGTGTGCGATAGTATTGGTTTGAAGTCGTAAATCATCTGGTTGAGATGGCCTCTGAATGATGCGCGCTTTCTTTCGCAACGTAAGAGCACTTGGGTAAGAGCGAGCAGGCGCGATATCGAGCGATACAGGAATGAGCAGCAGTAGCTTGTGTTTTTCTTCACTTCCCTTCAAGTGCACGGCATAGAGTTTCTAGAGGGCTATCAGATGCAATGGTAAAAAGCATACTCGTCAGTATATTGTAGACCTCTTAATACATTTGACGGATCCGTGTCGAGTGGAGTATTTTCGCGCTCTCTCACAGTGTGGCGGAGTGTGTTGTTACAAACCCAGGTACCCGGGCTCTGAGCTTCTGCTGTGTGGAGTGTGTTCTGTGCCGTTCTCGGCGGGTCTTGAGTTATCGTGAAACGCCGTGAATCGAGTTGGTCTCGTGTTTAGTGTCGCGCGCGCGTGTCGTTGTGCAGTGCCCCAAAGAGTGGTCCATTATCATCCATCAATCGGTTATTTATTGTTATTATTGCCACTAGATTGCAATTGCCAAGTCAAAGAGCGACCCGGTCGTCACACGCGCGGGGGACTTTCTCGAGTGGGAGACTTAAGTTCAAGTGCTGAATTATCGTAACTCTTCGTAGTGAGTGTGCGGTTCCTGATGTATTTGTCCATTTATTATCACGGTAGGATCCTTGATTGATACTTTTGCGCGGAGAGAGCAAGAGTACTCGTGACCAGTGTTTGCTTGTTTTATGTTTCCTGAAACATGCTCTCAGTCAGCGTCTGAGCAGTTGCCCCAGATTCAAGGATTACCAAGTCAAGGTCGGTCCTTCAGTGAAGTGCTCGTGACTCCAGAACTTCCCAAGCTTGAACCTGATGACTTCCGAAAACGATTAGGAACCATTTGAGACATGACCCGACAGTGAAAGTGTGTAGATAACTCTTTAAAACAAAACAAAAATACAGTGTATATACTATTATCGTTGGTGAAAAGCGTACCCGTAGAGTAGCAAACCCAGTGATTGCCAGTGTGCTCCAGTGTTGATCAATTACGCACGGTACATGTCCACCACACTTTCCAGTGTATCTGGAGTGTATCCAGAAGATTCAGAGCAAGAGCATGGACTGTTACCCGATTTAAATGGAGTGGATCTGGTTATGAGCTTGTCGCCGAAAGGAAACCATCATCATCACCATTTGACCAGTCTACAGCACCTGCAGAACCTTCAGCACAATTCTCTACACAGCCATTCGACGCCTTTTAGCGTCACCGACATCCTGAGTCCAATCGAAGAGTACCGCAAGCTGGAACTCAGCGCCAACCCACCGTCCCCATATAGGTTAGCATCATAACTCTACGGCACCTTAACTTCCCCATAACACCTCTCACCCCTGATCGCTTGCTTAAACTGTATCTACCTTGCTCATCCACCATTTCTTCTTCTAAATGCATCATCCAAACGATCACCTGATCCAACGACACACTAACGCGTAGATCCAATTCCAGCGGCGGGAGCAGCGTAAACTCGCCCAGTGCCCTCGGTTCCAACACAGTGTCGGTGTCGGCAGCGGCCGCAGCCAGCAGTATGGCCAACCCGTACGCAATGGGTCCACTGTACCACAGTCCGGGCGTGCAGAGCTATTGCGGTCCAACCGATAACCTCTCGCTGGCCGGCCACTACACCGATATGCGCAACTCGGCCGCCGGATGGTACGGCTCAACGGCCAGTGATCCCAGATTTGCAAGTGAGTAGCATTTCAATTATGTTGTATGGGAGATGTCCACTTGGGAATTTATGTTACCGAAAATGTGAATCTGGGGGGGGAGATGGGCGAGATTTAGTTTTAGATGTTTGGAGAACCTGGTTTGGTGAATGTATGAATATTTATGAGCTCAAAGTTAATCCCAAAATTATAACATTTCGAGCAATTGTGAAGATGTGCAATAACAGTTTATGATCCTTACATATAATAAAATTTTACTTACATTATTGATTTCGGCCATTTCAATATTAAAATCATAAGCTTATTTTTCTGAGTTGGTTAGAAATGCTATTTTTCTGTATAGAATCTCACAGGCCATCATTTAGATTCAATTTAATGGAGTTCAATTATTGCGTTGAACTACGTTCAATCGAGGGGTGCGTTATTCCCAATTTGAATGCGTGGTTGAGATTTTTTGAAATAATACGTAATTTTTAATACGTTTTTTACACAGTTTTGTTTACACTAAATTCTGTTTTAACGCGTATGGGTACTGTATTTTTAATATCACCAGATTTTTCTATTTTTTTTAATGACCAAGTTGTCTTAAATTTGGTTGAAAATTGAGATCACGCGATCAAAAATAGAGACGAAAAAAAAAATCGTGTAAAAACACGTAAATAAAGAGTATTTGAAATCATCTTGATTGAGATAGGGGCTGTCCATGTCCATATACCACGTGGACAGTTTATGAGAGGATTTAGACCCTTCCCCTCCCCCTACGTGGGTCAGCCCCATATGCGCATTGTTCTCTAGTTTGCGTTTTAGAAATGTAGCCAATCAAAATTACTCACTTAGGGTAGATGTACCACTTATGGCTATACGTTCCTGTTATGGTGTGTTCCAATTATGGAATATGGGATTTCTTTAGGTCATAATTGCAACTCACCATAATAGGAACGTACACCTACCCTACATATATTTTATATTTCTGTCATCGTTTATTTAAAATTGGTTAAAGATACGAAGCTCCTTAAAAATATTGACATAAATTGCGACTGAAATTAACAAGAAGACTTCTTGATAATTTTTTTTGTTCGTTTTGATTTTTCTAAAAGTATTGTAAAAATATATAGAAAATTAAAAAAAATATTTTTACATCAGATTTGACTAGTGCCCTCCACGATCATCTAACATTATTACTTTGTTTCTAACTGGATGTAATATTTAATTAAAAATGAAAGTGTCCGAAATTTGAATCGTCCGAAATTTGAATCGGAAGGGTATAAAAATAATTTTTCTATCTCATCATGTATCAAAGTTGGATTTAAACCAAATCCAAAAGTTTACATTTTACTGTTTTGTAATCCAGGGATCGAATTCCATACACCTAAGAAATGAATTAAAATCCGAACATTTCTTATAAAACGTCTACTTTTTGTATGAGCTGTACGGATTTCGGTCCTCCACGGATCTTGTTCAAGCAAAATTTAAGATAAATTATCTGTGTACCGAATGCGTGATAATGTTTGCACCATCGTACAAATAAGGTTCCCGTGTCACCTGTGCGTACAGTGCAGGGTGGCAAGTGAACCAGGAAAACAAGGAAAATGTCGGGAATTTTGTTTTTCCAGGAAAAACCGGAAAAAAACCGGGAATTTTTAAGTGAAACCAGGAAATTAATAATTTACAGATGCATTTCGGTTTGAAATGATGACGTTACTATTTATGTGTGATGCGTGCAAAATAATATATCTGTATATTGCCAGTTCAGAGAAAATTAGCATTTGTCGTCAAATTTGACTACCGAAACTGACAATCGTCACTGACAGCTGCTTTTGGGATTTTCGAACATTGAACCAAAATCGTTCCTTGACGACCGAGTTGTAGACCTTGTTCGCATGACAACACATCAAATATGAAAAGAAACATTCAAAACAACAATTCAGGTGGAAGTTCGCAAGATAAGTTGAAGAAATTTTGAAATATTTGAATAGAAAACTGCTTTTCAGCGCACTGGCAAAAGAAGATCCTCTAACCAACCTATGGACTACTACACTATTTCATTTCATGAGGACACCATCTCCACAATTATTTAGTATATTTTAGTGTTACCTGTGGTTCCAGTATAGCCTGATTGATACAATTGATAATCCAGCGGATCGAGTCGATTGCATCAAGAGGGTTCGATCTGTTTTCAACCGAGGCTTCGGATAATGATAGTTATTATCCGGTTGTGATTATGTTTGACAGCTGCGGATGTTGCTTCTTCTTATTTGTGAAATGTCGATGCATGCTAAGATATATCCGGAGAACTTTGAGATTAGGGCGTAATTGTTTTTGTAAAAAAACACGCCAATTTCTCGTGAATAAAAAAGAACAATATCGCGAACAAACTATACTAAATGATAGAGGAATAATTCCTCTACCGGTTTGTGTTGTTAGTTTTTGAGATTGAGCTTCAATTCGCGAAAAATCGGCAAATGACGTGTTTGTTTACAAAAGCAATTACGCCCTAATCTCAAAGTTCTCTGGAATATGTGAATCAGCAATATTCAATACACTTTGATAATCGAGCAGAAAAGCATCAGAGCTTTCGTTGCTGCTGATATGACAACGCAACTTTGCTTTATGTTCTCAGGCTGTGTTCCAATTGGTGAATTTTCACTTAAATTTGACACTTCGAAAAGAAATTAAGATGTTCAAAAATCCCTCTGTTGTTGACCTTCCTATTTTCGAGAAGGTGTTTGTAAAAATTGATTCCTAGTCGGTACAATAGTAGGTTTATTTGAAAAATTTTCTTCTGTCAAATTTAAGAGAGAATTGACCAAATGGAACACAGCCTCAGTACAAACACGATGCAAGCTCATATAAATCAGTGCACGGTCCCTAACCTCACAATTTGGTCTTGTTGTATCCCTTTCATTTAACACCAAATTAAAATGATGGCAACAGATAACTATGAATGTGCACCGAAACAAACCACCCGAAATTGTCAATTTTGGCATCTACGTGCACTGATCTATCACAAATCTTGCTTTCGGTGCTGGATATGTACGTGATTGACAAGAAAAAGTGCGAGCTTTCATTAGATTTCGTTGTTGAATGAAAATTGTTACCCTTTTTTACTACTCTGAACGCGATGCCTCCGGCAAAATGTCTATCGGAAAATTGGCTATGTTTGAAAAATCATTGCTCTACAAGTTATCGATGGATTTTAAATCAATTGATACCGAATAAATTTTTAATGTATGTTGTTTCAGATAAGGCCATTAAATTTGAAATTTGCCAATAAATGGCTGATTTTTCAAACATTGCAAGTTTGCCGTTACACATTTTACCGAGGCTTCGGGTTCGAAGTGTTAATGACATATAAATGCCAATATCGCCAATAAGGACCAATGTACCCATTTAGTTAAACCAGGATTAAGGCTTGAGCGGAGGTCAAGAAATTGGCCTTAAGCCGCTTGATCACAGTAGACGTTAGCTTAGTGGAAAACCTTGGGCTGAAACAAATACTCAGTTAATGGATATGTATCTGTCAAAATTTAATTCCAATTTGTTGACATGGTCCACTCTGAATGCCTTGGTTTTCTTTGCATGCACGTAACCTACAGCTCATACCGTAGTAGGCTGTGTATAAAAGAAAATGATTTACTTAGTTTGACAGTTGCACCATGACGAAGTGGCAGCGTATTCGTGATTTGTCCCACGCGCAAATTTCGCAAAAAGACATTTCAATCGACGTGGGAGTGTCATAAGGGTTTTAGACCGAGAAAAGAAAGGACAACTATCCGCGAAGGTGGCCACAGGTCGTCCGAGGTCAGCTCGTGTTCCGCTGCAGGGTTATCGCTGCTATCAAAAGGAAGATTCGGGTGAATCCAGTGCGTTCAATAAGGAAAATGGCAAAGGAACACGGGATCAGTGACTCTACGGCACGGAAGATCGTAAAGGAAGATTGCGGGGCGAAGTCGAGGGCACGGAAAAAAGCTCACATGATTACCAACCGCATCCAGGAGCTACGACTCGAAGGATGCAAGAAAATCTTGCACTTCCTTAAGCGAAAAAATCCGGTAATTCTGTTCACCGACGAGAGCATGTTTACCGTCGATCCCGTATCGAATTCCAGAACCGACCGGTATAATAGTTCTGTTCCAGTAAAAGACGTGGCCGACGAGCACAAGAACGTGTATCTGACCAAGCATCCTGCCCGGTAAATGGACCCGGTGTTCATTCCAGAAGGCGACAGGGTCAACACGGAGGTCTACATCGGGATTTTAAGTAAGTATGTTCTTCCGTGGATCAAAGCACAGTACGGTCCGAAGCCAAATTTTGTATTTCAACAAGATGGGGCTCCGTGCCACACCTCGAACCGCACTCAGAAGTGGTTGCAGGAACATCTTCCGTTCTGGGCGCCATCCAGCCCCGATCTTAATCCGCTGGATTACTCAATATGGCGCGTCATGAAGGCCAAGGCCTGTTCTAAACGCCACCTGAGTACAGCAAGCCTCAGACAAACATTGACCCGTACCTGGAGGGAAATGGATCCAGACTACATTATTAGAACCTGCCGTACATTCCGGAAGCGTGTGGAGACCGTGATTGCAGCAAGTGGAAACTCGATCGATGATTAACATAGTTTAAGACTCTGGAAGCATCCCCCCTTTGAATAAATAAAAAAAAACTCGAAAACGAAATTTTTGAGAATTTTTTTAATTTTGACATTGCATTACGCATACGGTAGACGATTATATTTTGTCATTTAGGTGCATTCAGTCATTGAGGTGTTTTTAGTCTTTCTTAAATCGTATTTGTTTTTATTAAGGTAGTTATGGGGTTTAATTAGTGATTTTGACTATTTTGAAACATCAGTATGCGCCATAAACAAAAAGATGGAAGAATCGTTATAAATTTTGAATCGTAAAGACTCTGAAAGACTTGAGTTCAAATCTTATCCCGGCAAGTCACAAGTGACCTAAAATGTGTTAAACAAAACAAACAGAACTTGAAGTCAAGTTGCTTTCATTTAAAAAGTCTTGACTATGAAAGCACAATCTGATATCAGACTAATGTACCAACAATTTAAATCAAAATGAATTTTCATTATGATAGAAACTGCAAACTTTAATATCGATTTGCTTTCATTTTGTTAACCAACTTTGTTCGGGTAGCTATTGTTCAATCTTAAATATAAATAAAAACATATCAAAATGGTGAGCCGCAACACCGATACCTTATTTGTTTATTTGTTAATTAATATTTCAACTGACGATTTATGTCTAAATCAATAAAACTTAAACTATTATGATCAAAAAAAAAGAGGCCAAGTAGTCGATGATGAAACACGTCAGCTGATAAATTGAAGTCGAACACACCAAAGAAGTATAGTCGCTATATTCATAGTCTGGCGGATAGAATCTCGGGAACCAATTGAGCTGTCAAATAGCGGAACCAATAAAGAAAATCACCACCAACAACAGAAAAGAGCACATACGCTATTGCGAACAAAACTTCGGAAACCCTTTTCTTGTGACTCAAGGCTCACCTACGCAAACTAACACCACCTTTGGGCTAGGGAAAGTTTCCCCTATCCGATGATGCTGGTAATTTGCGTTTGATTTGCGAGAAAAGAATAATCAACGTTTTGTTTATTAAAGTTGATAGTACCTTTACAATTGTTGGTCAACAATATTTAAACATTTTGCCAAAACACATTGGCAAAACTCTGTCAAAATATCAAAAATCTTGCAAAACAGTAAGTTTATCTTTTTGTCAGAAACTGGTGGCAGTGGCATACTTCCATCCTTGTTCGTTCACGTAAATCTATGTCTTTGTTCGTTGAAAGTAGATACATTTTAATAGAACTCTACTATGCCATGTGAAAACACAGATCAATGTAAAATTGAAAGCAAATGAATGGATTGTTAAATGTTTTCGTGTCAAATTAATATTTGATTGCTGTATATTTCAACTTAGGCTGGGAAATACATCAATGTAGCACATGTAAATTTACAAAGTTTATACTGTGTAGAATAAAATTACTTCCTGTTTTTTCGCCTACTAGAATACCAACACTACTGGCAATACGATATGGATGAATCCTCGAGAATCTCAAGTATGTAAATTCCATCCTCGTATATCCTCGTACTCATTGTACAATGAAGACCATTTTCACTTCATCGATGACAATAACGTTTTGTCTGTTATATTAAATTGATCACTTTGTGCCAAGCAGTTTTTTTTCCAGGCGTTTATCAAATATATTGTATTAACAATATGGTCCACTTTTTTGTTTTCTCAGCGACACGACTTTCAGACAACACTAGCACCCTTGCGTCAAGAAAGGCAGCTAAAGTATTAAAAAAAATACGAGGGATGCTTCAAAGCTTCATCAAAGGAGTGAAACCAAACTAGTTTTAAAAATTATTATCATATTCCAATGGGCGTCTTCAAATGTTGTCAACATGCTGATCATTTTTTCCCGATTTTAATAAATGTATTGAAATTGATTTCTTCTAGTGTAATAATTGCTATTAACAGACCCCTGGGATGTAATCGAACGCTTGCTGTCGACCTTTACTGGCGCTAGATGATGTTGCATTCTAGTCCGCTGCTGAGTTGTTTATGTCATATATTTGCTTTAATGTAATTCGTAAAATTTTGATATTTGTTGATGTCCAAGATGTATTTTCGCTGATATTTAAAACGTTTCTGAGTTGCAAAATTATAAATAGGCCATTATGTTGAATTAAAAAATAAAAAGATACAAGCAACACAAATTTCTCTTACATTCAATGTAAGGTTGGATTTATTACATCCTCTGCATATGTTTCATACATCAAATGTAATGGCAGTTTTTGAATTGGACTGCAGCGTATAAGTAAATTTTTTTAGAATACATAATTTAGTATAAAACCTTCACGAGATGATTTCACAGACGCAATGCATTTGGCGAAACAAACATAGATAGAAAATAAACTAACATAAAAATTACAAAATTATTTTAAAAACCTTCCGTCGATCACATTATAGAATCTGATCATGTTGCGAAACATTACAAATTCTACATACTTTTCATAAAAATATGTTATATAATCTTACGTTTCCTGGTTGGGTGTATAATTCTGAAACTGCTTTAAAATGTTTAATTTGAATTAAGGGATAGAATAACGTTTTGATCTTTCTAAACGAAACGCTAATTTCACTGGATTTTCTTATGAAAATACTTCGCTGAATGCATTCAAACGATTCTTTAGGCTTTCAGCTTCAAATCGATTATATTTTTACCACTGAGAAAAAGCAATCTAGCAGGGTTTTCTTGAAATACAACACACGCACTACAAAATGCTGCTGATTTCGAGTTGCCGATGAAAGCACAGCTGTTTAACACGCAGCTCAAACAGAAAGGTTACCTAATAAAAAGATGTTGTCCATAATAGTCGCTTTAACTAGAGAAGATTGAGCTTTGTAAAAGCGTGTGAAAACAGGTTCTGAAAATTCTTTCGATTGAAATTGTTAGAGCAGCTGGCAGCAAAAGATTGTTAACAAACCAATACTGCAAATGTGTGCGTTCCTTAGAGAAAAAGGCTATAGAAAAGATGGGCACTGCTTAAGTTGCTGAGAATACGTAAATTCCCCTATTATTCTAATTTCCGAAAAAAAAATTCACGTATAAAAACATTTTTTGTAAGTCATCATGGCATAAAGTTGGATTTAAAAAAACACAAAAAATCGACCTTTCGGTTTTGCTGATGGTCCAATTTTTTTTTCATGATGAGATAAAAACAATATTCTACAAGGAAGGACAGATTGTGAGGCTATCCTGAGGCAAATTGACCTGAATGTTCAACCCCGACCGCTTCGTAATAACCTTATGCTAAGACTGCCTCTACGTCGCACAAATTATGGAGCGTACGGTGCGATTTGCGGACTGCAGAGAACATTCAACAGAGTTGCATCTGTTTTCGACTTTCATCTTTCCCGTGATGCGCTTCGTCGAAAGTTTTCTTCTGTTTTTCGCCAGCAGGAGTTAAGATATTGACTATAAGATATACGTTTTTTAATGTTTTTTTTATGTTATGACCATGCTTGAATGTATTTTTTTTCCATAGTTGATAAGGTTTAAATCATTGGGGCTTCATCCAGCCTGTTGATGTAAATAAATAAAATAACAAAATAATAACAAAAATAACAAAATATTTCTACACGTAAATTTACTCAAGAATCTAAGGAAAAAACTGATTTCCTTGGATTTTTGATAATTTTCCCCCATGTTTTTATGAATATAAAAACGTGCCGAACAAAAAAAAATATTTTCGGGCCATTATCTTAGATTTTGAATTAGGTGCAATTAATTGGACCATGGGACTACAGGGAAAGAATTTTGGGGTGATGCGTTGACCTGTAGAGCGGTGAAACGTCATCACTGCACATTTTGGAACGCTGATGATGAGCTTATTGCGGCGGTACCAATCCACAAACAAATCTAGCAGAGCTTGAAGACGATGACAATCCTCAATCGAGTGAACTATGACGTATAGATTAAGATCATCTGCATAAACGAGCTTGCATTTGACTCCCAACAAAGCTGCTACATCATTGAAGAATAACGTAAACAAAAGTGGACCCAGGCTACTTCCCTGAGGTACTGCAGAGGTGCTGGTAAACGTAGAAGCGACACAAGATCCTAGTCGTACCCGAAGAGTTCCTCCACTCAAGTAGGAATGTAACCACGACGTAAGTTGCTCAAACGCTTCTAGTCGGGAAAGCTTGCATAACAAAACCTTCTGGTCGATTTTGTCGACTTGTGCCTTAGCCTCCATGTACCGATCTACCGGGAATAAATCCATGCTGGTCAGTTAAAATGTAGTTCTTCGAGCGATTCAGGACAAATTCGCTCAAGATGATCTCAAACAGTTTGGATGCCGTCGAAAGACTGGTGATACCTCGATAGTTCTTAATATCCCGTTTATTGCCAGCTTTGGAAACAGGAAACATATACGACTGCTTCCACAATGTTGGGAATTTTCCCTGCTTAAAGGATGCATTAAATATGGCTGCTAAAGGTTCTGCCAAGGCAGCTGAGCAACGGCAAAACACCACTGCCGGAATTCCATCTGGACCAGGAGAGAGTGAGGTTTTCAGTCTCCTTGCTTCTGAAAGTACCATATCCCGAGTTACTTCGAATGTGCTCAGTTCCACTAAGTCACTAGGCGCATCAGAGGGAGCAGATTCAGCTTCAACATCACTTGTCATATTTTTATCGAAGACAGATGCAAAGTGTTTAGGAAACATCTCACACGATTCGCTAAGAAAAGTGGACTCTTTCCCATTGAGTAGCATGTTGGACGGTATACTCGAATCTTTCCTTTTGCTGTTGACAAAGCTCCAAACATTTCGGGGGTTACGCCGCAAATTCCACTGGACTCTGACGACGTGTGATTTGTACAAGGTACTGTTAAGTTCAATGTAAGCGATACTGGCACGCTTCGTGTCAGCTGTTCTGTGATTACGTAGTTTTCTCTGGACTGCGTTACGCTCACGCTTCAGATAATAGAACACCTGGACATCACGCAGTTCAAATGGAAAGGTAGCCGAAAAAAAAGAGGCAGCCGACAATATAGCCACACTCATCTGGAGTTTGGAGCCTTGTAAAAACGTTTTCAAACCGTTTTGGACAATTCTGTGGTATGGGCAGCAAGCAGCAAATAAATGTAAACAAACAAACACATCATATATGTGCGTGATTCTGAAAAATTACTAATAGAAGTACGAAGGTTGCTTAGATCGATGAGAATACGTAAATTCTCCAATATTTTTTATTGCGCAAACTTGATTTTCTATGGATTAAATTCGTTTTGTGGATCACGTGCAATATATTTATGGGTAATGCGTACAATTTCAATGCTTATTCTTTAGAAATTCAGCAGTTAATTTTGACAATTGTGTTGCAAAATTTTACATAAGATTTGGATCTTATTGATTTGATCTATAGATAACGCACTAATTTTTAGGTTTTTTAAAAATTTATTAATGTTATATTCAGCCGTAGGCTGGTTCATCACTACACACTTAGAAAAATTAATGTTAGTTTAGGTGCTCTGGGACTGACATTATTTTGACATAAAATTGAGTCATAATAGACGAGAAATTCAGCTCAACTAAACTTACTTTTCGTCGAGTACCGAGCTTTTCAGGTTCGGAGAACTTAATTTTACATAACATGTTTGCTTACGTCTCATCCCTTATGCCAAGGATGGATTCCGTCACGTGTAAGATTACGTATTTCTAAGTGTGTACATTTTTTTTACGGATTTTCACCGTGGATCATATGTGTGTGTTTTAAGGGGAAGCTAACCGGCCCGAAAATTAAAAAAAAAAAATCAGTGCGTCAAAAATTACATCAAAAAAATATTTTTCCTATCTTATCATATAAAAAAAATTGGACTCTCAGCAAAACCGAAAATTCGATGTTTTGTGGTTTTTTGAGTCCAACTTTATGCCATACTGACTTATAAAAACTGTGATTTTTTTTTAGATTTTTGATTTTTTTTTCCAATATTTTTAGAAAAATCAAATCGTATTTTTTTTTCGGAGCGGTGAGTTTCCTGTTAAGGTTCGTTTTATAGTTTTTTAGAAACATCAATTATATTCTATATGCAAACATATATTTTCCGATAAAAACCAAGGTTTGAAAAATAAATAATATTTCAAGTCTTCTGATTATTTTACAATTTTAATACATGGAAGAGTTTTCAAGAATCCAGAATAAATTTTTTTTTTAGAATCTGAAACGTTACATGTGTCAAGAATCACAACTTACAGAAACATTCAAAATGCCAAATGATTTAACAGTTCTATTATAATATATTTCAAATATTTGAAACATAGAAATATGTTATGCTTATTGCATATCATTTTTTTTTACAAGATATTTGGTTCGAACCAAATTTGAAACTTTAGGACATTGACACAAATTTCGATATTCCGCTTCCATTTGGGATTGTGCCACCCTCTTATGGCACCTGGAGCCGCTGTAAAAACTTAATCTTAATCTATGAGATCTTATCGCATTTTCGATTATTCGGTGCTACATTTCATTGCCAAATCCAACAG